TGTAGAAGTTTGAGAGAATGTTTGAAAAGGATAAACAAGTTCTATTTTTATTTTGTAAAAAAGGAGGAAAAAAAGGCTGCTAGATAATGATGACTAGCATTGGTTTTAGCTGTCAAGTCTTCAATATAAAGCGCTAAATCTTTAATGTATTTGTGATATATAAAAGAGATGCAGTGCTTTGCTACTAAATGTCAACACTACAACAACTAAATAGGGTTAGGAAAAAGTTTTAATTAAAAAGAAAATGGTAAAGGAGAGGGAAGTAGGTCAGCTATGCTAGCTTGATTTTAACAACCTTAACATGTCAATGTGCTGTGGAATTTGGTGTGTTTTGGTTCAGTTAACAAAAAAGAAAGAAGAAAGGCGACACACACGAAAACTGTCAGACAGATCATCAGGAGAGCATCAGCAGCTATCAACCACTACTGTATTAGATTAGCTAATTTATACTAGCTAACCACAAAGGTAGCTAATGTACCACAGTGATCACTTATCAATAATCACAAAGATAAACACCAAGCCTGAAAACATAAATGGCCTGAATGTTCTGTTCTTTGTGTGGGAAATGTTTGAGTGTTTTTTGGTGTTGAATCCTGAAACATAATAGTGGCGTTGATGTCAGTCAGTTGCTATGGCAACGAGTCTGCGTAGTGACACGGAGAGCAAGAAAAAAGAATAGGAGTGTTTTTGACTTGTGTTTTTAACTACTTCCCAGCGTTATTTTCCCCTTTCCTGTGGTACACTGCATTCAATTAATAATCCATACTTCTCCAGGTTTCATTTAGTTAAAAGGTTCGACTACGTTTTTGTTTTTTTTCCTCCGGATGTAAGCAATAACGTGCCACGTATCTATGCACGATTGTTCTTTTCGTCAAACTACTCCTTTTTATTCAAAACTTTTGTCTATGTTAAAATGTGGGATGTTAATTTTAAGCTCCAAATGAATGAAATAAATTAAAAACTAACGCATGTCGCGCGTGTCTCTGCAGGGTCAGCCCCATGTCGTCCAGCCAGGTGCGCAGCAGCAACGCCTACGTCCTCTTCTACGAGATGGCCAACTCTTCACACGGAAAGTACCAGACGTGTCGGCTGTAGAAACGGCGAGACGAGCTGCACTCAACTGAGCCAGAACACACGGAGCTAGAGCGCCCTCTGGTGGAGAAGGAACTGCCATTACAAACTGTGAACATGGCTTCTGGAAAAGCTTCTTGAAAAGGGTCAAAACTGAAGAAAAAGTTGTTTTTACGGCCATTTTTCGACACTTCCTTTCAATATTTATAAATTATCTTTCAGAAGACATAATTTATTCTTTTTAATTTATTCTGCTTGTTGACTCCAGCGATGGTTTGAGGATGTTTTTAAGTGGAGACAGTAATATTTTTGTACAGTATTTATGCACAGCAGAGTGAATGTGATGCGACTGAAGTTCCTGACTTTACATCTAAAGTCTGTAAATGATTAAAAGTCGTCACTGAATGACTCCATATCATGTGTTTGCTTTATTTAGCCATCCATTTGTCCAGCTGCAGAGATTTTTAGCTCCATCTGGAGCCACAACCTTTTACTTACAAGTATGAATCCAATCTGGGTTAAAATATCTGAGTTTGTTTACAATATATTTATTGAGGTTTTTCATATATTGAACATAGAAAACACCCATTCACAGTTTTGCGAAAGGCAAATTTTTCGACACCACCTCATCTCAGCGCCTTTTTAGGGAAAACATGAGTTTTGTCAAAATTGGCACGTTTCCATAAAGTGAACTTATTTTCGTAATTTCAATTTACGCAGTTCTGTTTAATGGAAACACAGGTACTGGCGGCCCAACGGAACAGCTGTTGGATCTCTTGCTCCCTGATGGGAGAGAGAAAGAGACCTGACGGAACCAGAGCAGAAACCCGGGTTGGTTCTGTTTACCTGAGTAGCCATTTTACACAGTGGTTAGTACTCTCATCCTGTTCTGACCATGCTGGTTGCTGTTGGAAACTGATTGATTATTTCTTTGATTACCTCAGATGAAATCAGATAAAAATCCAAATTATGAAACTGTTCTGTTTGGGTTTCAGTGGAAGATACTGATGTAGTTTTGGTGAAGTTTGACCTTTAACCCCATAACTAAATTCTAAACTTTCACTGATTTCTCCTCAGACGTTCTCTTTAGTCAGAGTTCATTTTGGTTTGTTTATGTTTTCTTACTAGGGCTGAAATGATCAATCATTTTAATCATGATGAAGGGATTATTGAAATAATTATCAACTAATTTAGTAATCGATTAATCGTTAACTGCACCGTACAACCCCCACCCCCAAAATAGTCAAAGTAGTAATTCAGCCAAAACTGGACTATATATAGACATTTTTGCATTTAACATAGAGACATAATTTTCTGTAAAAATATTTTCCCCAAAACTCAAGTGACAGTTTTAGCTTCACTTATTCAAATTCACTAAAAATAATGCTGTTACTGCATTCTAGGCAATAAAGTTAGTATTTTCTTATTTAAAAATGAATTTAATTATTTGTTTATTTGCTTTTTTTAATGTATAAAAATACTTAAGTGGTAAAATATTTGATTAGTCGTCAGAATAATCAAGAACTGAAATCGTTAGTTGCGGCTCTATTTTTTTTTTATCTGAATACATTTTTGGTCACTAGAGGGCGCTGTTTAACTGACATCTCCTTATTGCTACTCGTTGAAAGACTGAGTTGTAAAGTGATTTGTGTCTGCCCCCTGCTGGCCAAGGAGGATAACTACAGATATTTAAAGTGGAGGATTGTAAACATTTAAATTCATATAAATCTTGTTGGGTGTAAATACTTTCTTACTTTGTTTTAATGTTACAGTTTGGTTTTTTTACTTTATCTTCAGATTTTTATGTGTAAAAGAGGGATTCTGTTCATTGACTTAATCAATAATAAATTAAATGATGATTGTGAGACTTTACCGTCATAAAGAAAGCATCTTCTGGTTACAAACAAACATCTGGAACCATAAAATTGGATCAACTTGATTCAGTTGTTCTGGGTCGTTGATATCATAGAAATCTGATTTGGACATTGCTTGATGCTGGATCAACTTTAGTTAAAGTGGCATTTATTAATAAAAGCTATACGTATAAATTCATAAACACAATTTAACTGGATTCCGGTTGCTATTTTCTCCCAAATGCAAAACTCAGAGTTTATTGTCAAACTGCTGTCAAAGAAGAGTCAGCAGACATCTTCACTGGCTTCAGGTGGCTGTTTATTCATCGTTTTATTCCACAGAGAAATAATAAATCAAAAATTATTCTATAGTTTTTGAAAGCAACCAAAGGATCTGCTACTTTTCTGTATCAGAATGTTTGTTTGTTTGTTTGTTTGTTTGTTTGTTTGTTTGTTTGTTTGTTTGTTTGTTTGTTTGTTTGTTTGTTTGTTTAAAACTAGGCAAAGAAAAATAAACATATTTGAAGTAAACTGTCAGGTGTAAAATGAGATACTGACAGGTCTGAGCAAGACTTTCTAACAATGTTTAAACCTGCAACATGATATGATCATTCTTTGGTTTTACCGCCAAACATGTTTTATGTAAAGTTTGAAATAATCCCAATGCAGTGCAGCCAGCAGGGGGGCGTGTTGAGGGAGTAATGGAGTAGTACATCTCCGTGCTTACACGAATAAAACCCAGGTTAATTCATGAAAAAATATTCAAGGACAACGGAAAACTAAAGCAAAAATGAAAATGGGTTTTCTGACAGCAATAAAATTAACTTTAAAGCTTAAGAAAAGCAGTTTTAGCACAAACATGAACTCATAAAAAGCAAAACATTCAGTGATAACGTTGTTGTCATCACTGAATTTCACAAACAAGTTTGTTGTTTGTTAGCATTAGCAGGCCTAGAAAGCGGAGGCTTCACGGTACAACTAGCTTTATGTGAATTATTGTTTGGAAAGCAGTTTTTCCTATAGCAGAAACTAAAATAAAAATTGTGTGAGATGTTATGGAAGACATAAAAAGCTGAATTTATTTCAGATTATGTTTAAGTTAATGCTAGTAGTTTAGCACAGAGATGAGTCACAACATTAAGATTTGTATTTGTTTAAAGGTTCTGGGATGGTTCATGATTTGTTTCTTTTACAGAAAAGAACAAAATATATCCCAGCTGAAACCGAGCCACTCTTGTTTGATATTTTTACATAGGCGCTAGCGCTAGCAGTGCAGCTACAACAGATGTTTGAAAATGACTTTACTTAAATCTTTAACAGAGTTATTGTTTGTTTTCTGTTTTAGAGAAGAAATTAAAGAAAAAACAAGTATATAAACTAAAAAACTGAGTCTCCAATCGCTGACCCTATTTATGTACCGTTAGCATAGCTAGCTACTGCAGGAAATAAGAAGAGTGATTTCTTTAAAATCTGAGTTGTTGCTTCAGAGGTTGTTTATGATCAGATCAGATTTTTTATAGTGAATAGTGTAGTTATTTTAGAAGGGAATTAACAAAATTAGTTTTGTTGAAGTTCTGCATCAACCATTAAAAGAAAAATTCCTTCAGCAATAATTCACGCTCTTTCACTTCTTTATTTGGTGTCAAACTTGTGAAAAACTGAAGTAAATACATAATTTGCATGACTGTACAAAACATTTGTTGTGAATTTGCGATTAGCCTCCAGTGGAGCAGCTAATATCCATAGTGGCTGGACTGCTTGTTTGGCTGTTTGGGAATATTCAAAGATGGAAACATTTGTCTTTACAAAAATTATGAACTCCCAGTTTTTTAAAACTTTTATTTTTAGATCCAGTTTATTTTTTAATTAAGTATCACTTTTTAGCTTTACTGTTTCTTCTCTTTTTTAATCATTCAATTAAGAAAAAATCAACATCAGACAAACTTAGATTACAAAGTTTTTTTGTCTTTCACAATAAATGATCATGGTAGGTTCAATATATGTGTTTGATTTTTTTTTTTAAATCACCACATAAAACATAAAAATAAACTTTGACAATGTAACCATTTACAACATATTTTAAGTGGGTAAAACAGTTTTCCTCTCATTGTAGAAATACAATTAAAGAGCACAGTGCTTTCTTCTGGCCTCCTCCTTTTCATGTGGGAAAAGTTTTTCATCTCAAATCAACTTTTCAGACGAAGCATCTTCTCCTCTTGTCCTCCAGGTCAGGATTTTGGGTAACGTTGGAGTAGGAAATTGTTTATTGTGCAATGAGTGACCACATAAATTATAATTCGAATGGTGTTAGTCTCAGATTTTGTTGGAGTATTTCAGCAGACCGTAGATGCCGCCGCCTGAAATGAAGATAATACTGTTTTCATTATTGATTACAGAGGAATGAACTTTATCTGTGACTCATTGATGGATGCCTTTTTGTGGGATAAATGTGACAACAAAAACCACATTTCAAATACTATTATTATAAATTTTGACCTATGATAAGACATTCCCTTAGAAGTGACTTTGCTCCAGTTCTTAGAACGAAAGGCATGAAGGTTTGTTTGTTGCTTAGTGATCAGTCTTGCTTTTTCTGCAAAATAAGCTAATAAATTGCTGCAGCAACATATTTCCTGAGACTGAGTTAACAGATTGAGACAGTCAAATATGTGTTGCAAATCTTTTATTTTGCAGGTTTCCTTGGTTTTGAAGCATGAGGCAGCCATATTGGATTTTAAGGCCAAGGAGCTATGTTTCTAGTCCCAGAAGAAGTAGCAACTGATCCCGTAACAGTTTCCTTTAGTTTTGTGTTTGTTCAGTACAATTCAGTTTGTTTATATTCACAACAAATGTCTCACAGCACAAAAAAATAATCGTGCTACAGTAGTGGGTACACTCCCGCTAATGTGCTAAAACATAGCAAATTTTTCAGTTAGCGCCTTAGCATCTTTGAACTCCAGCTTGTTTAGCTTCTAAACCAAATTTCCTGGATAAATTCTAAATCTGTTTTAGTTTACTTGTCTCTTTTGTAAACTTGTCGACTATTAGGAATTCTTCAGGACTTTATAGCCATACTTTTATTTTGAAGGGGGCAAAGACTGTTATGCAGTTTCCTCAAGTTTTCACTCTTTTCTTTAATCAAGAAACTTTGAGCAAATATACAACAAACAAAGTTAGCAGTGTTGACCAACTACAGAACTGAACCTGAGTGAAAGGTCTGCTCCAGAGAATCGCTTCCTGAAGAGGAATCAAGTCGCAGTGTGATGACAAATTTGTTAAGAGTGCTACACAATGTGGTAGACATCTTGTTTCACTGGGCATCAAATTATCTCTTCAGTGCTTTAGCATTAGCTTGTGCTCAATGCTATGTTGGTTTAGCGTAGTGCTTCAGCGTTATCGCTGCTAACGTTTTAGCAACATGATGCTCTGCATCAGCATCTTTAGATTTAAATGATTTGTTGCTTTTATTGTGTCATTGTTGCCCTGAGATAGACGGGTGCCCTGTCCAGGCTGCACCCGCCTCTGACCTACTGACCACAGACAGACACCATCGACCTCAGTCTCACAGGAATAGAGTGCATAAAAGATCACCTACATCAACTGGTCAGTATATTTGACGTTGAGAGGTGACAATATGTTATTAATTTACTACACTCACCCAATAAGCCTGCTCCAGCAATTGTTCCTACAGTGATGCCAGCTATCGCTCCCCCTGAGAGTCCTGAAGGTTTGGGGCTGGGTCCGTCGGTTGGCCCTTCAGTGGGATCACCAGTTGAGGCGCTAGTTGGTTCACCAGTTGAGGCGCTAGTTGGTTCACTAATTGGTGCTGAAGTGGGTGCAGCAGTTCTTGCTGTGTCGGTGGAGTGTGTAGTAGCTGTGGTGGGTGTACTAGCTGTGGAGTGTGTAGTAGCTGTGGTGGGTGTAGTGGTTTGTGTTCCAGGAGCCAACGTTGACCCAGTTAAAGTTACTGGAGCCTCGGTGGTTGTCGCTCGGCACAGGATTACTGCATCAGTTTAATCAAAAAAGGGAAAATCAGGTTTATTAGTTCAGAATGCTTCAGCAACAAGGCCGTTTAACATGATAAAAAGATAAACAAACCAGTGTGAAACAAGCTTTTCATTTTGTCAAAAGTCGAAATCAGTCATCAAGAATAATCAAATATATGAATCAATATTCCAGTTCTTAATCAAAGGCAGGTTTTTATTCTTTATTTAAAGGAACTCAGTGTGTGACTTTTTGAAGACGCTTGCAGTATTCAAGATAAATACATCTAAACACTAATGCTGCATCGTTAGTCCTTTAATCCAGGAAATGGTCTGCAGCTGATAAAAATCTGACTTTTATCAGCTGCAGACTTTGTAACCGTCTTTAAGGGACTCTGAAGGTTCAGACCCAGGTTTCAGCCTGATCTCTAGTTTCTATCTGTAATAACTGAAGCTGTGTGCCGACTCTGGTACGTTCCTCTTTAGCTCCAAAGATAATTACTTCAGTTTTTTGCTTAAGGTTTTTAAACGATGCTTCAGCATTTGGCTAAAAGTTTAATCAGGTTTCTGTGTCACAGCAGACTTTTAAACAGAGCTGTTAAAAAGTTAACAGCTCATTTTATTGACTGCATTGCCTTCCTGTAAACTCCTCTGCTTCCTCTTCCATCAGATTTAAATAATCATCAACCGAGTGAATCACAAGGACGGCTGAAAAAACGAAGAATCACTGCTATAAAAAAACTCAACTTGAAGGATTTGAAACATTTTAATAAACATTATATTGAAATGTTTTTATCAGACCATGCCACTGTTTCCTTTCAGGTTCAAATTTACTTTATTTTTAAATTTAATTTACGCTTCAAAGTTATAATATGACACTCTTTATAGATATGATTGAATATTGAGTCTTTTTTTTTTTACCTGTACTCAGGAGGCAAAGTGCCACTACACACAGATTGTCCTTCATCATTTTGGAGAAACTGAGACTCAAAACCAGGAATGTCTGAGTTTAGTCCTGAAAGAGAAAAACACCAAAACATGAAAGCAGTTCAATTACAGACATTTTCCCACTAAGCATCCATTGGAAATTATAAATCTGGTTTATTTTTAAAGACAAAATAAAGATGAATTCTCAGCTGTTTGGTGTTTAATCAGAACTCTGATGCTATAATAATAATAAAAAAAGAGAAAAATGCAGAAGTTAATTACAGAAAGTGACTTTGGAGAGGAGAGCTGCTCACCTGAGAGGATGTGGACGTGCTTATTTCCAGTAAAACCAGTAGATATTCAGCTTATATAAGTTTTTTTTTTATTACCTACGCATGGAGGCGGAGCATTTCTACTGTAAAACCTCATCACAGTTTGTACCACAATTCATCTATTTTACACCTATTTCCTGAAAATTAAACATTATTGTTTGCTTTCTAACTTAACAATCACAGTATTTACTGATCAAATGTTATCAATCACTAATGAAAGGTCTCAGTAGTTCTGTCTGCTGAGCAGAAATAGATTTAATAGAGTTAATCAATAAGCTTTGCTCTGTAAGGGAAGTGTGGGCACTGTCCCTTTATTTATGATTTCCCTTTTCTCCTCTGGGTTCATGCGGATGACATTTGTGTTCATCTGCCTTAAAGGTTGAATAAATGCTGCGACTAAACCCTGATGAGGACACAAGTCTTAGATTAGATCAGATTAGTCATAATAATCCCCTATTATGATCATTTCTAAGTTACCATCAAGAAACTCCAAAAATCTTTGCTGCTGTGAACTTTGTGTCTAAATACTTTTTCAGCTATCCCACCATAAAAAAATCGCAAACAATAAAACACAAACTAAATATAACATTTAGTTTGTAAATAAATATTGAAATATTTAGCTTCCAAATAAATATTTAGTTAGCAACCTAAACATTTAGTTTAAAGTTTTATATTTAGCTCTGAGCTAAAAGTAAATATTTCAATATGTAGTTCCAGACCAAAAATATTCATTTCAGAGCTAAATCTGACAGAATGGAGCCTGTTTGCTCCTAGAACTGACCTTTCACGCCATGTTGTCACCAGTGGTGACACATGTTGGTTGTGTAGTTTTCCATAAATGTGTGACTATCCTGCCTCATTAAACTATAAAATATTAACAATTCTACACATTCAAGGAAGTATTTTACATTACCTGTGTCTGAACTTTGACCTGTTCTAATATTACAGTCAATAAAAAGAAGGAAGGAGAATGGTTATTTTTATATTTAGTAACATGAACAAACTGCAGCCTGTTCCCATTTAAAGCTCATTCCAGGTGGTTAAAACTCATCCTAAACGTTCAAAAACGCAGCAGACTCAACACTTTCATTATTTTTAAAGGAAAGACGGATTTAAAAGATCATAAAACAAAACACACCTCATGATTCAAAGTCTTCACAGCCGGCCTCAGAGTTCACTTTCTATATGACTTTATCGGTCTCTTCCATTGTTGTGGGAGAATTTTGGTCCATTCTTCATTCCAGTATTGACCCAGTTTGGGCCTAGATTAACCATTTCACGCTGAACTTTCTGGTTTTGATTCCTGACAAGACAGAAGTTATTGTTTTTGGATCAGAACCTCTGAAAAAGAACCCCTGTAGCCTCTGAAAATAAAGAATAAATAAGTTTCCACGATTTCCAGGAAGCCCAGAAAATGCAGCTAAAAGTCTTCAGCTGACCCAAAACACTGCAGTTCTGATTAAAGTTAAAAACAGAGATTATATTTCTCCTCTATTTTAGCTTCCATTGGTTCTCTGTTAAGTCCAGATTATAATTTAAGATTCTCCCCTAATAATCCAGCTCTATCATCCATCAGAGATCTGATTGGTCCCGATGTTTCTACCATGGAAACAAGGTATTTTTTTTTTTTACATCTGATTAGCATATTAAAAGCTCAGATATCACCTGAACTTTGACCCCAAATTCAAAAGGAACTTTTCAGCAACTAATCAGAGTTTTTTATTTAAAGTATTGCATGCTTAGTTTATTGTTGAGATGGTAAAATAATATTATTTTTCACCATCAATCCTTTTCACTTGTTGTTTTTGGCATATGTTCCCTCAGAGAAGAAAGAAAACACCTTTAGTGAAAGTTCTTGCCACTTTGGGTTTGATTTCCTGCAAAAATGCAAGCAGTAAGCTGAAGTTTTGAGTCAAATATTTCTGAGGCATTTTAAGTGAACTGCAAAAAACTTTATGAAATGTCACAAATTATCTGATTAAATTGGGTGACAAACTTATAGAACCCCCTTTAAAGAGAATAAAAACAGGTGCATAGCACTGCTCATGAAACTAAACTGTGAGGTCATCTTTTGAAGAATCTCATTAACTATTGAGTTAAATCTAATTCAGTAAGAATAGTGCTAGTTAAAACATTGCTAGTTGATATTCATGTTTCATCACATTAACTTACTCCATCTAGTGTGCTCATATGTAAACTAAAATAATGAAATGTAAATGTTAGCTAACGTGCTAACATTATGCTGTTGGTATGTTCACAAGTAACATTTTCATTCTAGTACAGTAACATTTGTTTCTAAGCTAAAATTAGTGAAAAAGATTTTGCTGGCTGAAAATGCTAGCACTAACATGTTGGCCATAAAAATAAAAAGTGTGAAAAAAAAACTTTAAAGCTTACTACCAATTTTATCTTTTAGCTTAAATTTAGCTTACTGGTAATGTTAGCTAAAATGTTAGCATCAACTTTTGGGCTATCATCAGCATGTTGACAAAGAGTGCTTTACTCTATCTATACAATATACATACTAAAAAGCTAATTGTAACCAAAAGGCTAACAGTAACATGTTAGCGAATGGTACCATGACTTACTTCAAAATGGAACTAACAACATATAATCTGAAACTAACTAATGTTAATATACTAGCATGTTGACTAACTCTAGCATGTTTGCTAACGTTAAGTTACTCCGTTCAGTAAGCTAACTTTTGCTTTAAGGTAAAATGAGGTAAGAAGCTAACATTAGCATGAGATCTGTCACTAGCACGTAGACAACATTCACTTCCTCCATTTAGTTTAATGATTGCAATGAATAATTACAATTTGATAAACAGCTAATGCTAACTAAAATGCTTTCAATAGAATATTGGAATTCTAATTGAATTCAAAAGTACTTTATTGATCCCAAAGGGAAATTAAATTGACTGACACTAGCATATTTGCTAACATTATATTACTCCATTCAGTATGTTAGCTTTTGCATTCGAGGTAAAATGAGCTGAAAAGCTAACATTAGCATGAACATTTCAGGCAGGAAGCAAAAAGAAGACAAAGGAAAAAGTTTGTCTGATTTTCTTTATTTATTATATGAAAATAAACCAACTTTATGTTATGAAATATATATAAAACCTCAGCAGTAAAGCCCTGTCTGGATGGTTGCAAATGTGTGGAACATTTTTATTTCTAGATGCCAAAGGAAACTAAAACCGTTTGTAATTAAGGCTGAAAGAGTGAAAATGAGCGAGTCTGTAAATATGCCAAGATGGCTATTCATCACACTAAATATCATCAATTATTCATAATCTTAATTATAGTTTTTCACATATATTCATAAATGACAACAAAACCTTCTGGTCGACACATTTATCCCACTCAATGCAGACAGAAACCTTTAAATACGCAGTGCATTTGCTGTTACGTTAAAATCATCATCAAAATTACTGTCTGACTTAAAGAAGTGCGATAAAGAAACTATAATGGATTTATTCCTGGTGGGCCATGAAGCTTTCACTGACGGTTTTATTCAGATCCTTTGAGAAAAGCCCGCCTCCTCCCCATCCCGCTAGTCAGATCGGATCATAGAAAACGTTGCAGCTTGCGATATTTCAACATCTAAGTCCTTGATGGGGGGAATTGTTCTCAGATTTTTTTAGTGTATTTCAGCAGACCGTAGACGCCGCCACCTGGAAAAAAGGAAAATACTTTATCACCCCAGAACAGAAAAGAATAGGAAAAACTCATAACTCTTTAGATTCATCTCAGAAAATTACTAGAGAAAGTTGGAAATTTCTGTCTAAAAAGTCAAAGATTTGCTACAAAAACTCAGAAATTTTTAGATTTATCTCAGAAAATTACTAGAGAATTTAGAATTTTCTGAATTTAAAAAGTTGAAAATTTACTTGGAAAAAAAATGCTGAATTTTTTCAGATTAATCTCAGAAAATTTCTGGATTTGAAAAATTAAAAATTTGCTTGAAAAAATCTCAGGAATTTTGAAATTATCCAAAACATTTTTCAGAAAATGTGGAAATTTCTGAGTTTAGAAGATTTTCAATTTATTAAAAGAAAAGGCAGATTTTTTTTCAGTTTAATCTCAGAAAATTTCTAGCAAAATTTTAATTTCAAGTTTTTCTCAGAATTCTTTTAGATTAATCTAAAATTTCCAGAGTTTTTTCTATCATATTTTAAACTTTACAAACTCAGACATTTTCAAGTTTTATCTAGAAAATTTCAGAGATTTTCTGGTGGAAATCCTTCGTTTTATCCCCTGATCTAACCCTGACACGCCGTTGCACTGGCCTCTGTAATGAAAAACCTGATTAGAAAGAGCCTGTTTGACAGCATGAAGTAGGCTAAAAGTCACTTATAATGGTTGCAGAACCATTTCTAAAGCTTTGGATACCATGATTTCCTGACACAAATGGACATTTCAGTAATATTCTATCTTATTAAATGAGTTTAAAGACTTTAACTTGGATTTAATTTCAAACTTTTTGTCCAGATAACGATTAGTTTCTCTTTCTCTAAATGAATTTGGTTGAGTAACTATTTGAACAGCAGCATTTGCATTTATTCAAAGGGCTGGAGACTAGTAAAGCAGAGCGAACGGCTCTCCTTCCTGGTTAATGGTTGACAGACTGAGTTGGTGGAAACTGCGGCGTTGCGTAACCGTTTGTGTGTTTGTCCATTATGCTCACCCAATAAGCCCGCCCCGGCGATGGTACCAATGGTGATGCCGGCTATTGCCCCTCCGGACAGCCCTGACGAGCCTGGTGCCGACGTGGGAATGACTGTGGTTGAGTTTGAGGGGTCTGTGGATGGTGAACCAGTTCCATCAGTTTGGCTGAATGTGGTTGGTGCATCAGTTGGGGTTGAGGTTGGTGGATCATCTGAAGGTCCAGTACTGTTGTCTGTGGAGTTTTGTGTTGTTGGTGGTGCTGGCGTAGTAGGTGCAGCAGTAGGTGAGCTGGTTGATTCTGTTCCACACAGATTTACTGTATCAGAAAGAAAACATTTGAAGCAAATCATGAAAATCCTCCTTGTTACACAATAATATTAATATTTAATTATCTCCAAAGTAAACCGTTAAGGTGTAAATCACCCTGATCCTACTAATAAAAACGGAGATAAGAAAAGAACAGTTCTAAAAAGAGCAGTGACCAACCCTTTTCCTAAACAATGTCTACATCATTTATGGCCTATATCACTCATCACCTTTGGCCTAATCGCAGAAACGCTCCAACGTGACCTCATTTACGCTTTAACCAACTCATAAATTGAAATAAATGCCAAAAAAAATTTTTTCTGGCATTCAATATCAGATATTTCCTCATTTCCTTCTCATTTTATTGCTTCTGGCTTTGCTTTAACTTCAACTTAGACGTACTTTTTTGCCGTTGCACAAAGACACAACAAAAAATTTCATAAAGAAATGTCATTACTTGGCCACCAGAAAAAAATAAAAATAAAACCTATAAATGTGACTATAAATACATATAGATATAGATAAACAAGATAAACAAGAATCTTGAAACCACCTTCTACTAAATGTGAAAATAAAAAGTTTTAGTCCTTTTACCTGTGGCGAGGAGGCAAAGAGCCGCTACCAGAAAATGTTTGAGCATTTTTCCAGAGTAGTGACGTTGTTTTATTTTCGATTTTTTGCTGCTGCTGGAAAACAGAATTATTAACATAAAAGAATTGATTAACATTCATACAGATCATTTATTAAACATTTGCAAAAAAAACTAACAATATTTGTGGTTCAAAATGTTTTTTGTCTGAAAAACAAATTTTAATACCTTTAAGATAAAAATATATCACAACTTCAGCAAATATTTGACCAAAAATCAACAATGTTAATCTGAAATCTGAAAATCTTTTTCTGTGGAGTGAAACCCGGAGAAGAGGTGTGAGCTACTCACCAGAGAGGCTGTCTGTGACGACTGTCTTCCCTTGTGGAGGATATTTATCTTTCAATGACCCTCTTATCATTTTTAGCCCTCCCATCTGTGTGTCATTTCTGTGTCTCACCTTACACGTCGCTCTTAATGTTTATCTGCTTTTATTTGGTTATTATGGCAAATAAATAAAACGTCTGCTGAACATAGGTGGGGAAACGCAGGTAACGTCTGGGTGAATCAATACCGAAATGTAACATTTTATTGGTTTAAACCACAATATTTATCTCTTCTGTTTAAACAAAACCAATAATTTATGCTTCCTGCTGCTTGGAGAGCCAGTTTTCTTTCTAAAATAAAAGATGCACCTGCATATTTTTTTACTAATTTGTACTCACCGTCTCGTTTCTTCAGCCTTGTTTGAGCCATCGGCTGAAAACAGTGAAAACTAAGGCAACAGGCTGATAAAGCCTGGTTAGTTTGCTCTGTTTGCTCAGCTTGCTGTCCAGCAGACTGTATCTGAAAACACTCAGTCGCCATAGCACAGCAGCATCTCGTTTACACGCTGCTCTTTGAACAACACCTTAATGCCAGTTTTATTTCCACCCTGGTTACCAACCTGCAACAGAAACAGTTTCTGCCAATTCACAGAAATGTATCCAAGACTTATTGACGTCTGAGAATAAACATCACAAAACCAAAACCAAAAGGTTGCTAAAGTAAATCTCTGGAGAATTACACACACACACACACACACACACACACACACAC